GGGGGGGGGGGGGAGGGCTGAGTGACCAGAAGTTTTAACGGAAGAAATATGAATGGGTTACAAATGTAATACATTTCATATTTTTTTTTTAATGAGTATGATTTTATAGGGACAAAATACTTCTACAATGAGTGGTTTCGATGTCAAATTTAAAATTTAGCGTGAAATCTTCTTATCAATTCTATCATTAATGGTTTTGAGGAAAACTAAAGGCGAGGTCTTATCAAGTTTATTATAAAAGCTTTTTTTGAAAAAAATTATTATGGAAAAAGTAAACAACTTTGTTATTTTAGACAAAAACCAGAATGCAAGTAATCGTTCAAATGATTGCCAAAAAATATTTCATAAATTAAAAATTATACTAAATATGGTTTTTGCGACGATTTTTTTTAAAAATTGCCCATACTAACCCCCCTCTCCCCTATAAGTAAAATTACGTTTCATTCATCACTTCTAATTGCGTCGCCCATGCCTAAATACAAATATTTCTTTTCCAAGTTCAGGTAATCAATCTCATCTCAAAATGTGCTTGCATAAAGTTAAAAACATTAAACAAAATTATTTTTTTCACTCGACTTTTAAGAAAAAATTAAGCCACGATGGGGGGGTCGTTGGCTATAAAATTATTATATTTTGGCTCTAAACCACTTTACCATGAAACGCGAGACTTTGACAATGATAAAATCGAAATTTAAATAGACCACTTCTTTAAAATTCAATTTCTCAGTAACTATTCGGCCGGTTTTGTTCAAATTTCGTACTTTGCCTTATAAAATTACGTTTCTTAAAATGATGTTAGAATTTGTATATCTTATAATTCAACACTTATTTGATTCTTTTTAAATAAAATAAGAAAATAAATTTAAAAAAATTATTATTATCATCATAATTATTTTTTCAAGGAAAGATCTTAGGATAAACGAATTTTATAGCTGTGTTTAAAAAATTCTCAATTCCCTTTAAAATGTTCTCGAGATATGGCGTAGTAAGTAAAAAGTAAAATTAACATGAAGGGTTACAAATTTTGGACAGCTGACCCAGATGATCAGATTGAGTCCTAGTACGTGAAAATCTGATCATTAAAAAAATTACTCAGGGGATTCATTTTTTATTTATTTAGCTCACCACACAAGATGAGCTCTAAAAAAACGTTATGAAGGAGAAATTTGAGAAAGTGTTTACAGATATTTCTCACGTTTTTTATTCATATAGCATTTTTACGCTTGAATCATTATTAGTTTGCGAAAAAAACCTCTTAAAGTACAACATAAAAATACAAAACAATAACACTTTCTCTTTCACCCCCTCAAAAAGGTTTTTTTCTTTGTTTGTTTTTAGTTTGCAATCCTCGTGGCACAGTCACCTATCTAATTTTGTATTTTCAACAAAGTACAATGAAAGAAAAATAGCAGAAAATTTTCACTTCTTTTTCATACTGTAAATAAGAATGTGGAGAATAAGATTAAAAGCATTTTAAAAACAGAAAAAAAGTTAGAAATATCAAATATTCCATTGATAATAATTTTTCAATTAAATATTATTAATGGAGCGTTCCTGTGCCACAGGTCCTGGGTTCGATCCTCGAGCCGGGCACGGTTGGCTCAGACTTTCATCTCTTCAGAGGTTCGATAAATGAGGACCAGGCTTGATTGGGCACTGGGAGCTTAGAGTTCGGCTGACCACCTAATCGGAATATCTGCTCCTGCAAGCCAGAGTCCAAGGTCAAGAAAACTGAGATGGGCACAGTAGGCCTTGGCCCTCTATGGGCTGTCGCGCCACTGAGTATAGTTTACTATTAATGGAATATTAAGTAACACTATATTTAATATTCGATTTCATATTTATTATATTTAGTTATTTTAATTAATATATATTTATATATTTATTATACATTATATTGCAGAAATATTAGAAATATTTAATAGCATTTTTTCTTTCATTGTAAAAGAGAATGAGAATAAAGGACTTACCTAAGATGTTGATATCTAAATCGCAGGTCGCTTCACCCTGAGAATTGGTGAGAGAAAAACCATACTTTCCTGTCGATGCACGAATTGCTTTTCGGAATGTGATCACCACCTTCTCATCCTTAACCACTATGTCCACTTCCTTAGCTGTGACCGCCTGTCCATTGCGCAGCAATTTTGCAACCGCCTTAGACGTCCTTTTTCCAACAACTAATAAAGTAACAATTGAATCAAAACCTTACAATTAAGTGCTCTTTAAAAGAATGCAGTTATTAACATTTGATAAGTCAAGTTAAACAACAAAAAGTGTTTCAAATGAAATACAGGCATTTCTAAAGAGAAACAGCAATGGATTTCAGCCATCTCCCATTCAGTTGAATCATGTTTGACAAATGAAAAAAAAAAAAAAAAAATTCTTTTGCTTGGCTTGTTTAATTTCCACTTTCTAGAATGAAATCAGAGTTTCAAACCTTAAATAAGCTTACATATTTGGGCAGTCAATATTTTAAATGACGAAAATTCACTATATAAATATTTTTTTGACGCATTTTTGACACTAGTTCAGGTTAGAAAAAGGGGAAAAGTTTCCTCCCCCTAATATCAGTCTAACTTAATATATCATAAATTAAATCATAAGAATTTTTTTCTTTTTTTTTTGACATTTGACTCATTTCTTTGAAAGTTAGGATTTTCTCAATTAAAACAAAATTAACAAAATAGATTAAGTATATGAATATCTTATAACTTTAAAAACTAAATTTTACCATTAGTAAAATAAATAAAAAGTAATCATAAAAATTAATTTACAAATTAATAAAAATATAAACAAACTTTAAAATTGAGTTAAAAAATAGTTATCTAAAATAGTTCTATGGGAATATTTATTCAGAGAAAGTACGTTTTCGTTTATTTTTTATTGTAACTTAAAATAGCATCTGCAATAATATGTAAGAATATTTCGGGTGAGTGCCTTCAATCATAATAATTGCATCTTAATACTTGAAAATCCAATAATATCAAAAGCAAGGTATTTTCTCTTTTCATTCACCGCACTCTAAATTATAATTATTTTCCATCCGGGTCGGCATGATTTAAATAACTTTATAAACTTAGAGGATAAAACTCATTGATTCAAATCAACTGGTTTATTTCAATAAAAATTTTTTTTAAAAAAACCATCAATCCACACCTGCTATCACATCCACCAGAACCTGAAATAAACGCTCACCTGAAATGACCAAAAAAGTACAAATTGCTGCTGTTGTTGTGCAAAGCATGGACATAAGGATACTTTTATAACTTTTTTATGGTGGAACACGTTTGAACACACACCCCTTGAACACGTTTCAAACCTTCTGGGTTTCTAAACACACTAAACTAACCTATTTTTTTTTTAAATGTCCAAACCTTCTTTTATTTTACTCGGCAATTAGCCACGCATATATTTTTCTGCTCGCGTATTTTAATTGTTATGTATTCATATTACTCATATTCTCGCTTTTTGTATTAGATTGATTGATAAAGCACTATGCAGATAGCCAAGGGGGCGGAAAACTCTGGAGTCGAGGCCCCTCTTCAAGCCTGTGGAGGACCTCCCTCTAACCCAGGGGCCGGGTAACAGGCACGCCCACGGAGAGGCCGAAAGCTGTGTTCGAGGCGGGGGTACAAATAGCATAATAAAATGACTTACTTTCATAAGGGATTTCAATGGTGTAAGGTTTTCCACTATCTCCAACAAAGTCAAATTTATCCAACTTGATGATCGGGGCTTTTTCAGCTGTAAATGAATAATTTTTATATCATTTTAAACAATTATTTAGTTTGAAATAAGTGAGATCAATAAGTAAAAATGAATGAATTTATATTCTGCCGTGGTTGCATTTAGTCCTCTGTGAAAATATTATTTTAATTAAAAACCAACTTTATAAAATTTTATAATGTCGAAATGTGTTTTTTTCCCCTTCCCAGGCTCTTTAATTTTGGCATCGGTCATAAATATTATATTTTTTGCATCAAAAATGAAGTAAAATCATGACGGATTTTTAAAAAAAATATTAACAAGATGTTTATCTAAAACTTGAAACATGATCTGGATCGATGTGATCTGGATGTTATGCAAAAATAAAATGTTTGTGTCAAATGGATGAGAAAGCTAGATGGAAATATATTAAGAGCTTTTCCAATGCTTCAACTAATTCTATGTGGCAGAATATAAAAAGTCTATGGGCTTGATGAAAAAAAAAAAGTTTTTTTCTTTTTTCAACCTTCGTTAAAATCATCCGTTTAGAGATATAATTATGAATGATTTTAAGGTGTTTACGCAAATGCACTCCCACTGAATTACATTGTTTCAAAATACTTGATTTGTAGAGAAACCAAAATAGCCACTCATTCAACCTTCATAAAAAGAATCTCATCGTCATCATGAATGGTTCGACAGCCCAGGGTGGGCCGTGTCCTTCTCAACAAGTTTTTTCCAGGCTAATCTTTTTCCTGCTAGTGTTTTTCAGTTTTTAGTTTTTAAGACCAAAATGTCTTTTTCTAGGCCATCCATCCATCTCAAATTCGTCCCGTCTCTTTTTCGTGCACCAACTGGTCTGGTATTGAAAACTTTTTTGAGTGGTAGGATTATCGTTCATTCAGATAACATGGCCTGTCCATTTTATTCCTTAATAAAGTTAATAATGGTCAGATTCATTATCTGAGTGATAAAGTTTTAAATGAAAGAATCTTACCTTGTTCAACTGTGAGTTTGCAAGAGGTCTTGAGATCTTTAGCTTGGCACCTGTATTCGCCGGCATCCTCCATTTCAAGAGTTTTAAAAATCAGATGATGTTTTCCGTCATCGTGCATTTTGAAGAACACCCTGCAGAACAACCAACACTTCACTCACTATTTCTGAATTATTTTCGTTAATTTCGTCGAAAAACCGAGATTGTTTACAATTCTAGCACACATTCCTAAAAGTTTGATTTATTCTCGCACTATATGCTGAACACTCCACAAAAGTTACAAAAAAGGGCACGTATATTGTAAAATAAAGTCATCGATGTTTTTATAAGAAGTTTTACAAAAGTCTGTCAACTGTATTATATAGTTTTAAAATATTTAATTTTTATCGGTTAAGCCTTGTTCGAATTCATATTCTCTCTGTGGTGTGTCTATGTTTAAATAATTTTAATCAAAAAAATTTTGCGTGCATGGTTAAATGTTTTTAATAGTAACACATTCAGAGATTGTTTTTAAAGTGTATAGCCGATATTTGAATCTTGTTTCTTCAATTTTTAAAAATTAAAAGAAAGTTATAAACAAATATGCAGATGCTGCAATAATCTGCCGCGTTTCTGATATCGGAGTTTTCCTTGATTTGATCTCTCAATTTCCAAAAAAATATTTTCTATTGTATCTCTTTGGATTTATTCCATCAAGAAGAGAACATTTCCTCCACATGATTCGATACAAATGAGGACCTGATTCTTAGTACAGATAATAAAAATATTTTCTGCATCCAATTAAATTTTTCTTGCACGAGCTACTATAGTAGACGCAAATTGTCACTTTATTGCCTCATATGAGTCACTTAGGGATAAAGTCAAATATTAATTTGTTTTCTTCTCAGTATTTTGTTCCAAACATGCCGCAAATACCTACTTCACAAAAGTGATTTTAAACAAGTAATATTAAAAAAAAAATTTAAGCCAATTCCTGCTTAGATCAAGAAATAAATATTTAATTTTAACTTATTTTTAATTAAATATTTAAACAATTTTATCCCATATAAAACTAAAATTAATGAATTAAACGTAATTAATGAGTTAAATTTAATTAATGAATTAAATTTAATGAATGAATTAAAATTAATGAATGAATTAATATTTGAAAAAACTGTATTAACATCAAGTGTCATTCACTTTAAGTCTTAAAAAAATTGTATTTGAACTTAAGTGGATGAATAAAAAGTATTTCATTAACGATTGAAAATTGGAACAAGATATTATGAAGAGTGTGAACAAATAGAAGGAATTGTATAATGTCTTTTTATCGAGTACTATAATATTATGAAATAATGTGACATAAGAAGTCACGGAAAGAAAGACGTATTATTGGCATATTTCTGAAGAAAAGTTCACATTTTAGTTTAGGTTTTAAAAGTCATATTAAGAGGCTTTGAGAAATAGTTTTTATTACTCTCATTAAAACATCCCTTAATTGAATTTCTGCTTATTTCTCTTTTCAAATACTTATTCAATATTTTCACCCTATTTTTTTTCTTCAGGTTGGTAGGTACTTTATTTACTACGCACTAGAGCTGCACAATGGGCTATTGGAGATGGTTTGGGAAACATCCTTGAGGATGATCCGAAGACATGCCATCACCATTTTGATCCGCTGCACAAAGGGGATGGCTCCCCTGGGTTGGTAGCCCGACAAATAAAGCGCGAAGACGAGCGTTTTTCTGTAGCATTTACTGTAGCGTTTTACTTATCGAGCACCGATACAGCGCACCCTTGGACCTGCGCAGACTGATCAAAGTGGTCACAAAACCGCTTACTGACCGCAGTCAGTGATGCGACTTTACACATTGTCGACTCCCGGGCACTTCTTTGGCACCGTATTTCATTCATCACTTACAATCTTACATTCCAATCTTACACGCCAATCTTACATTCGCTAAGTCGGCTTTCAAATTTTCTCGCGAAAATCTTCGAATATTAATTCGCGCATGTTTCACTTGCGACATACCATTTAAAAAACGCATGAGTGAACATGAGGTGTGAATAAATTTAGCTGCTTTAAAAGTTTTTGTGTATTATCATTCTCTTTTTATTCGGACTTCCTGAAACACATATTTATTTCTTACTTTTTTATTTCCTTTTTAGGATAAAGTTTTGTTGTGGGTGTAGGATATATGAGTAGGGTATATCTTTTTAATTATTTTTATAAATTTATTGCAAATAATTTATGGTGTCTTT